AGGGCTGGCACATTTTCATTCCTCATGACAAAAAGTTGTGACTTGAGGAAACTTCTTCTGCTGCCAGGTTTGATATCAAACAGGTGCATTTCCTCAGCCTCTTCACTTTTCTGTGTTAAACAGAGGACCTATTTGCTTCATATGTCTGACACGCCCTGTAATTCGAATGCTATAGCGGTTGCCTCTTGCAAGTGCCTCAGACCAGGGTGCTTTGTCATAGCGTTTCCTAATGCAGAGTCATGTCCTGTTCCTGATTTCCTTAGAGAGGATCAAGGCCAAACCTTATGGATGAGGAGTGAAGAACTTGAGTGTAGGCGTTGAGCGTATTCTCACCACACCGCGTTGCTCCCATGGGGAGGAAAAACCTACAGGCCTTGAGCCAAACATAATTCAATTAAACCCTTTGCTGGAGATATCTGTTCAACCCACAGTCTAGCTGCAGTGTTTCCAGTTATCCTTTCTGTTTACCAGAAAGTCTGAGGAGAGTGGAATACTGGAAAGAAGGCAGGTGGTGATGGAGACGACAGTCGCTCTGGGTCTGCTTTGCCCTTCCTGTTGCCAAGCCGGTTTGCCAAGCCTTGGCTGTTGGCTCCTCTACCTTTGTTCAAGGAGGCCGATTTCCCTGCACCGACATTGGTCAGGCCTTAGGGAGCTGCGCAGAGATCGTCCCAGAGGTCTATGCTGTCTTGAATTTTATCGTGTGTGTCAGCTTCTACCTTTTTTTCCAGTAATATACGTAAATTTATTCAAGCTCCTTATAACATAGAAGCCACAACTTGGAAGAGACTGGATGTGTCAAACGCTTTCCTCATTTAGAGGGCATATTTTGCTGAAGGCAGTTGTATTCCTTTAAGGCCACTGTCTGCTTTTGGATAAAATGGACAAAAGAGCCAATACCCATCCATTGGGGTCAGTGATGTTTATACAGAGCACCATGCACAAACAGAGGCTAAGATCGAGACGCGAGATCGTGAGCAATGCTCTTTTACCAACCCGATGAGCCCGTCACCGCTGAGGGCAGGAGCAGCAGTTAGGCTGGCTGCTTCCTCATTAGGTTACTCCTGTTTAAAAGGTGAGAATGGTCATTTAACATCCCCTCATCTAGGAATCTAACCTGTGGCGATAATATACTGCTCAAGTACAAAAGTCACATCTAAGAAATATCTAAGTAACCCCATGCATCTCTGACTGTGTCTATCAAACACCAAATGTGGAAGTTGATTCAGTCTTGCAGCCATTGTCTGTTTTTTCGTGGTCCCTAAGCCAGTGCTATTATAGGGGGAGGCACATTGAAGCCCACTGGAGCACTGTTTGTAATTGCAGAGTTGCAAACAACAGAATGTTCATAAATAGAGTAATAATTGAACAAATTACGGATGTCCATACACTAGAATATGGCATCATTTAAAAGAACGAAGTAGGTCTATAGGTACTGAACTGGAAAAACAGGACATATTAAGTGAGATGTCATGAGACATACTATGTAAAACAAAGGCAACACGTTTCGCAAACCAGTAAGAGTATGATCCAACAACTGTGAGCATGTGTGTGGCTGACTGTCCTGAGGAAAATGCCAGAAACAACACAAGCTGAGTTGTTAAAACAGTTGTAGTTACTTTAGGGGATGGTGGGAGGAAGGGTAGGTTAGCTTGGGAAAGCTTTACTATGTACTATTTTTTAAAGTAGTGGAGTTAAGATTTTTAACTTCATGTTTTTCAGTAATTTTTATATTTAAAAAAACTCATAAAAACCTCAACATTTTAGGTAAGTAGGTAAATGACACAAAACTGAGTGATCCCTGGACTCCAAGTCACTCTTATTAGGTGTCTCACACCCACTTATCAGCCATGTGACTTTGGCCATGTCATTAATCTCTGAAGGTTGACTGCTCTCGTCTTATAAATCAAGAATTCCTATTCTACCTCCTACGATTATTACACCCAAAACTTAAAATGTTGAAACAAGATCACATGGGAAAATACTTTAAACTGAAGAGCAATGCAGGAATGTCAGGCTGTCGTAGAAGTTATCAGTGGGCTAGAACAAGAACCAAGTATATCTGATTTCCCCATTAGTGCTAGGGCTCCCAGTGTTACTAAGGAGGTGTGTGTCTCCTCCAATAAAGGCGATTGGCAGTCCCCACAGACTGCCCTGGCTCCAGTTCAAATGCCTCACCCTGGACAAGTGTAAGAGGATCTGGCTGTGGACCTTGACTCGTGAGCCGAAGGTTCGTTTCTTCTAGCGTACCCGATATTGTTTTCCTTCCTACTGTTTCCTGCTTCAGAGAGCAGAAACATCCACATGATGGATGGACTTGATCTTTCCTTTCATGCTGGGATATACAATTAGGTATCAGTGGGTTTTTCATTACAAGTAGTTTCTGACCATCCAAAAAACATCCAAGTGGTTGGCCGCTAACGGAACAAATGGCTCCACCCACTTCAGCAACGGCTATCATACCAAACCATGAGCTTAGCAATAACGAACCTGAAACTAGGGGAGAATAGCTCATTAATGGTAGTGGACCAGTAAGCCATCTCGAGCACACATGCCAACTCTAAAATTTACGCTTTTGGGGCCGGCCCGTGGCTTAGCGGCTAAGTGCGTGCGCTCCGCTGCTGGCGGCCCGGAGTTCAGATCCCGGGCGCGCACCGACGCACTGCTTCTCCGGCCATGCTGAGGCCGCGTCCCACATACAGCAACTAGAAGGATGTGCAGCTATGACATACAACTATCTACTG